GACTTATGCCGATCGCGTTCATCTCTCTCTCGTCGACCTCTGTCGCTTCTGTCTGATCTGTCTCGATCCCTTCTTCGATCACTGTCCCTATCTCTATCCCTGTCCCTGTCGCGATCCCGGTCCCTATCACGGCGATCTCGATCCCTATCGTCTCTTTCGCTTCTACGCCTGTCTCTCCCTTCCCAACGACCGGCTCCATGATCATCCGTGTCTCCCCATCGACTCCTTCTCTTCTCACCTCGATTATCTTCACGTCGTCTATCTCTATCAAAATCTCTTTCTCTTCCACCTCTTCCGTCGTTATTCCACTGCCCGCGGGAATCGTCTCTGTAACCTCCACGGCTTCTGTCAACCCATGGCCTCCTTCCATCCCTCTCTATGTCATGCCTTTCATCGTTAATTCCTCTTGTCGGTGGTACATTTGGGTTTAGCGCATCTCTGTTAAACGGCCGATCTCCGTGAAATCCTCCACCTCCTCTTCCTCCAAACCCACCTCCACGACCTCCCCTGAATCCGCCAAGTCCGGGTCCTCCAAATCCTCCCCTCATTGGAGGTGAACCAAAGTTAGGCGGAGGAACACCGGGCGGTCCACCTCCTCCTGATGGTAAGGCAGGACCTCCTGCTCTAGGTAATCCAGAAACACCAGGTACTGGTGGTGGCATTGATGTAGGCGGCTGCATCGGTGGTTGTGATGGCATCGAAGATGGATTTGGCATACTTCCGGGTGGATGCACTGGCGGAGGCATTACCATTCCGCTTGGGCCTCCTTGTGGCATACCAAACATCTGAAATGCGGCAAATATAAGGACAGAGCGATAAGATAACAAGAACTTACTTGTCCAGGCATTCCCGACGGCATTCCAGATGGAAGTCCCGGAGGCATTGGTAGTCGCATGCCGAAGCCTGGAGGTGGCACCATTTGAGGAGGTGGCCCCATGAAAGAATGTGCAGCATGGCCTGCATGTGAGGAACCTAAATTTGGGTGGTCCTTAACTCATTCTTTCATCTGCACAGTAATGAAAAATCCCAAGATATTACAAAGAAGGTGTAGCAAGATTGTTTTAGTTTTCTAAAGACTGCACAAGGAAATCAAGTAAAACGGAGATTTTACTGGATTGCTGCAACATGCAAATGCCCTTGTAAATTTGTAAACATCAAACTTACCCATAAAAGGAGGAAATGGAGAAGGAGGCGGGACT